GCGGTCCGAGGGCGCCGCCTGGCGGACGCGGCCGGTACCGCACCCCGCGGGGCCGAACTGCTCTCGGAGTGTGTTGAGCAGAGAGAGAAGCATAAACTTCGCCTTTCTATCAGTACTATTTATTGCGAATATTGAAATGTCGTGTAGTTTCGAACGACGAGACGAACTGATTAGATAGGTAAGTAGTATAATTAATTGGAAGACCCTTCCATGACAATTATATATATATACACATATATCAAAGCCATTCCAGTGACAAAATGTGACCTTGGAAATGAACTAGAGAGTTTAGTCATTGCTGAAGCATACAAGAATATGTGTATTTAGGTATTTTACACAAAAGAATTCTTGTGTACAGAAAAGAGACCTTGTTGATTATCTGATACAATCGAGTGCTTGGGAAACATAGTCTCTAACAGAAAGTATTAAATTTCTTCATGATTTAGAGACCTTCTTTCAACTTGGAGTGCTCTCTTTCATATTCACAACTTGAAGCAGATAGTCCATCATCTAATAAAAAGAGAAACATTATTTATAGTTCAGTCCTGAAAAAAGTAATTCACTAATTTACTAAGCCCAAGATAAGTTAATAAACCTAATATATAACCGCTCTCTGTATTCACACAGCAAACACATTCGTAATAATCTTTCCAAAACAGATCCCATTTGTCTTGGTTAGTGTAATAACCAACTGCCAAACTATGGGAAAACTCATTCTCCCAAATAATTTTGTCTGCCATCTCATTTATATAGTGCCTCATTAGTGTACAGAAGCCAAGTCACAGATACAATTTAAAGCTTATTTTCCAACGTACTTTTACACTTAGTCCATTTTGCAGGACGGATTTTCCTCCTGACCTTTAACCACTTTAACTGCAATTTATTTGCAGAATGAAGAGCAGGCAAAGTATTAACTGAAAACAAGAAGATAATGCAAGTGCACCACCGTAAGTTGAACTCCCAGAACTATTGTGCTCATCTCTTCCATTTTTTATGACTATTTGTGTGTTGCAGCCGTTACCCTACTCTGGGTGAGTCCTTTGGAAAGAATCTTTTTATCCTTAGAAATGTACAGTCCAGTGTGAGCCCTAGTGGTGACTAATGCATTGGTTGATTTTGAGCTAATAAGCAAGACCCTGAACTGAATTACCTAAAGTACTTATCTGTATTTACTTCTGCATCCTTTAGCTTTGGGGATTCCTGAGCTTAAATTTAAAATTCATACTCTAAATTGAAAAGGTCTGTGAAACAAAGTCCTCCTAGTGCATTTCTTGCCAGCACAGCCTGTGTTCTGTGTGCAGCGGGTGGGAACACAAGGGTGGCACAGAGAGTTGGGCTCCTCGTGCCTGACGTTTCTGTGGGTGCACCCCCAGCCCGTGGGAGCTGTGGCCTCAGAGGTGCCCATGTCTGGGACAGCTGTTCCATCACCAGGCGGTGAGGTTCATGATTTACCTGCCTTTGGTCACTTGTCATTGCCTCAGTCCAACAGGCCACTTCACGGGGGAGAATAACCCACTGCAAACATGTTCCTCCTCGAACTAGTTTCTGTTCCAAGCTCAAACACAATACAGTCGGGAAAGTACTTAATGCCAAGTACAAAATTTCCGTGTGTGCTGTGCCACTGTCCTCAGTGCATGTTCGGTGTCTGAGCGCAAAAACCAGGGGGAAAGTACAAATACAGATATGATTCAGCTTACCAGAGGCAACTTCCAGCCTTCATAAGTAAAATTTATTGCCAGATACTTTTAGAAGTCAAAATATTTTCCTCTTTACATAGGTTAATGGAATTTGTTCTTCTAAGGCTGTACACTACAGAGCTGAAGATGAAACAGTTTCCTTTCTGGAGATAGTATTAATCACAGTTACTATAAGCATCACTCTCATAAAGCCATAGCCAGAAGGGAACCTATGGGCAGTGTTCATATCAGTGGTGTGAGAGACTTAAATCATCACTTAATTTAATGGGCAAATGTTTACCCATATTCAAATAAAAGCCTAAGTATCCACTGATTTCACTGCACCAGGGTTTCAGAAGGGAGACAGGGCTGAAGTTAGCCCAGGAATATTAATTATTCCATATTGCAGTAGAACATGGGAAGGAAAAAATCTTCCCATTAATGACTTTAAGGGGGCGTATTAATCTTTTTATTCTATCTCAGTGTCACCAAAAAGAATTCTGCAGCTATATCACCATGACTGTGCCTGAGGCATTATAAAAAAAAAAGAGTTTTCTCATAAATTTTGTGATTTACATGAGACCCTGATTGCTTTCTGCAAAACCTCACTGTTATTCTTCCCCTGGTGTATTTTACAGGGTTTTCGAAAAGCACAGGGGAGAATCTGTTGCAAAGCTTTGTTATCGTGTGAAATAGCATTAGTAAGAACTTGAGGGATGAGGAAGGAGGTCCTAGGCACACATTACAGCTCATCAGTAGCCACAGACTAATTAAGCAAGACCACGAATGATCACAGTGGTAGCCAGCACCAACGGGGAAAAGGCAAAGGAGACAAAGACGAAGCCAGGAACAGAAGAAACTCTGCAAGCCACTGGCTTCACCCCGACCTGGCTGTACCCCACAAACCAGACAGGTGGCAACTGCCTGAAGAGCTACAGAGGGAGCCAGTCAGTGTGATGTGGCGTTAGACACAGCAGCTTTGCCTCCCTCCTGCCCTCACACCCGATCGTCACACCGGCTGGGTTTGGTGGGTAATACAGAACGCAGTGCTGGTGTGGTCACTCGAACATGAAGAAAATAAAAGAATGGCCCAACCAAGTATCTTGAAGGGAGTCCAGACACTAAAATCTGCCTAATGTTTGCTGAGTTTGTGCCCAATGAACTCATCAGAAATCCAATCTGTGAGTGACAACCTGCAATCAAGAGTAGAGTCTCACTGTACTGAATGTCTAGTGCATGAGATGCATTTCTGCTGCATTTCCGGACAAGGTACAAGTTAGAAGAGGCTGATATGTTACTGTAAACCAAAATTTGAATACATGGAGTGTCTTAACAGGTTTATCTTACTTACATCTTTCCAACTGCTATTGTCATCCGTCTCCCAGCTGTTCCTGGTGTACCAGGGAAGCCCTCCTTTTAAAAAGTGAACACTTTTATTTTCATTCCTTTCCAGCAGCCGTAGCAAATATTTTGAGATTTCTTCCCACTGCAGATAGTCTTCCAGCTGCTTGATATTGTCAGGTAATTCTGACGACGGTGTCTTGTTTTCTTCTTCAAAACCATAAGGAAAATCTCCACTGCTCTTTTTCCCCATTAAATGTCCTGTAACGACAATGACATTAGTACGAAATTATCCAAAACGGGTAAAGATTTGATTGTTCGAACACCAAATGGACTTTGCTGAAGGAAGGAAGGAAAGGGGCTAGATGCTGTCAAAGTTGAAGCACTACTGGGACCGGAGATTTTATCAGTGTCACACACAATTCATTTCCTCCGTCGAGCTACACTCTCAGAGAAAACGTCGCTGAGAAGGGGCAGAGATAACCAAGCGTTTTTCCTGGAGCTAGGGGGAGGCACTCGTTAAGATTTGCCGGAAGAAAAAGCGGAGAGAGAAGCTGTAGGTTTTAGCCTTACCCTGCCCCACACGGGCACGGGACGCGGGGACTCTGCGCTCCGGCGCCTCTCCGGGCGCTAACCCGGACTTACCCACAGCCCAGTGGCTGCCGCGCGGG